GGGGGTGGGGGGGGTTAGGTGCCATTGAGTTGCCTCTGGCTCACAGCCACCCTGGCACAACAGAAGGAATCGCTCCCTGCCCTGTGCCATCTTTACCTCTGTTTGAGCCCACATGTGACGGGAGTGGGAAGTTGAGGCATTTGTTCGTTGTAGCTCAGTGATCATTTAAATTATCTAAAGCTTTGATCCTGGAGGGTCTCTCACAGCCATCGAGTCAATGCCATCTCATAGCGACCCCATAGGACAAGGAACAACTGTCCCTGTGGGTTTCTGAGACTGTAACCCTTTACCTACATCAGATGCATATTTAAAAATAATGACGATAATTTGGTCATTTTTCAACTTTATTGAGTGTTTAGAACAAAATTCAAACTTCTTGCAACTTACAGAGATCCTTGGATTTGCTACTTGCTATCGTTATTAGATTACACTTTTAATGTAAAATCTAATTAAGTAACACCACCACGTGGATACTACTTGGCCTATGAAAATTATGAACTTCATAGTATTAATCACTATATGTGTTTCCCAGGACTGCTCCAACAAATTACCACACATTGCAGCTTTAAAACAACAGAAATGTATCCTCCATTGACTGAAGAGTCTTAAAGTCTGAAGTCAAGATGTTGGTAGGGTCATGGGCCCCCTAAAGCAGCAGTTCTCAACCTGTGGGTCACAACCCCTTTGGAGTTCAAACAACCCTTTCACCGGGGTCACCTGATTCCTAACAGTGGAAAAATTACAGTTATGAAGTAGCAACGAAAATAATTTTATGGTTGGGGGTCCCCACAACCTGAGGAACTGTATGAAAGGGGTGCGGCATGAGGAAGGTGGAGAACCACTGCCCTGAATCAGGGCTCTAGAGAAGAATTCTTCCTTCCTGCTTCGAGCTTTCAGAGTTGACTGGCAGGCCTTGGTATTCCCTGGCCCCGAGCAGCGGCCCTCCATCACCAGATGGTCTTCTTCCTCTCTTCTCTGCTCTCCTGGTCTCCGCGGTGAACAGACAGACCTGTTCATGGGCCCTCTGACAAACAAAGGAGTCACTTGATAGAGGGCCTATCCTAATGCAGCTCCCCCTCACCTGAACTCATTAGACCTTCAAAACTCGTTTCCAAATAAAATCATATTCTGAGTTTGCAGGTGGACACGAATTTTGGGGGGGGGGGTTTCACGCTATTTGATGCCTGATTTTAATGTTTTTACATTTATTACACTATTTTTCTGAGTATTCAGTGGACACACCAATGTGTCCCCAAAATCCTTTTCATTCATCTGTCTTCCTAATATTTTATAAGTTCATTTTCATTCCCTGTTGAGCATGATGTCTCAAGGCTTATGTCCTTTGAAAACATTGTGTAGTCTTTATAATGGAAAATCCAAACAAAAAACCTCAATCCACTGCTGAAGGGTTAATTCCATTATCAGAGCGGCCTCACAGGACAGGCTTTAACTGCCCTATAGAGTTTCCAAGTATGTAAATCTTTATGGAGAGAGATTGCCTCAATTTTGTTTCATAGGATGGCTGCAGAGGTTCTCAACCTGTGGGTTGCAACCCCTTTGGGGGTCGAACGACCCTTTCACAGGGGTTTCCCGATGCATCACAGTAGCAAAATGACAGTGCTGAAGTAGCAATGAAAATAATTTTATGGTTGGGGTGTCACCACAACATGAAGAACTGTATTAAAGGGTTGCGGCATTAGGAAGGTTGAGCATCACCGGGCTAGAGGATTTGAACCACCAGCCTTTAAATCTAGCAGCCAACATGCTTAATCCACCATGCCACCATGGATCTTTCATAATCTAGGAGATCTGTAAAATCAGAGGCACTCAGTATGTGTTAACAGAGCAGTCTGAAAGCAGAGCCTTAACTCCAGTGTAAAGCCTTAGCATGAGTCTAGAATGTATGTTGAAATTTAAAGGCTGTCTTTTCTATTAAGCTCCCCCCGTAACTGCAGCCTCCACAAACCCAGTGTTTTAGAATTTAAGCTCGAATACAGGTCAGACAGACATAAGATGTGATAGCTTACACCTGAAGTGTCTTAAAGCACGTTATCAATGACAATAAATCTTTGCAATGGACTCCAATATAGAGGTGATTGGAAACACAATGTTTTATAGTAGGTTACCAGGAAAACTTGCCCTGCCATTCTCTCGTGACCATCTGTAATAGGTTGCAAGGGACATCTTCTTGCAATATGGACTCTTAGCCAATCGTGTAAACCCACATATATATTATCCTGATAGATCCTCATTTTCAGATCTCCTGCCTTTGACTTCCCTGATTGTCTCTCAGCCAATTATGATTTGGTAACCCTTCGTTCCCAGTACAATTGTACAACAATGTTTTCTTCCTCATTGACCAGAGGAGGTGAGCAGTCATTTTGCCCCATGAATTTGGACGTCTTCCTGGTCCACATCCCCTCTCTCAAAAAAACAAACTCACTGCCATCGAGTGGATTACAACTCACGGCAACCCTGCAGTTGAGGAAAACAAATACGTGTTAACAGCGTAACATGATAATTTATGCTATGCATTCCCCTCACTGTCGTTGGGCCACTACTGACACATTGAGGACAGGGTAGAACTGTCCCTGTGAATTTCTGAGACTGTAACGCTTTACAGGAGTAGAAAGCCCCATCTTTCTCTGGTGGAGCCACTGGTGGTTCGAACTGCCGACTTTGCTGTTAGCAGCCCTACTCAGAACCACTTTGCCACCAGGGGTCCTCGTATCCTCTCTATCCCTCAATAAACTTCCCTCCTTTCCTTTCCTTTAAGAAGACTTTGTGAAGTTGTGCTACAATCATGACCGTATCATTATCTGATGTTGTGGATACGTGTTTTGTATGTACCTTTGGTTTAATTACGAGGGACACAATCTGGCATGCAAAATGTCAACATCAGCGGTTCTCAACAGAGGTTCTCAACAGAGGTCACCCGATTCATCACAGTAGCAAAATGACAGTGATGAAATAGCAATGAAAATAATTTTATGGTTGGGGGGTCATCAGCACATGAGGAACTGTATTAAAGGGCCACAGCATTGGGAAGGTTGAGAACCACTGGTCTATATCAAGCATTGCTTAAAGTTCCCTCCTCCACCTCTGCCCCTACCCTCCTGAAAAAATTTGATAAGGAGGAACTTCTGTATGGAAGGATGTCTTCCTGGTCCACATCCCCTCTCTCAAAAAAAACCAAACTCACTGCCATCGAGTTGATTACGAGTCACAGTAACCCTGCAGTTGAGGAAAAAAATATTGCTAATAACTTAATAGAAGCAAAAGGTTGATGGTTTGGATCCAGCCAGAGGCTGACCTAGGGAACCCTGGTGACACAGAGGTTACAAGTTGAACTGCTAACCACAAGGCCAGCAGTTCAAACCCACGGAATGTTCTACAGGGGGAAAATGAGGTTGTCTACTCCCATACAAGTTTAGTCTCAGAAACTCCAGGGGGCAGTTTTGTTCTACCCGATAGGGTTGCTATGAACTGGAATTGGCTCGATGGGTGTGAGTTTGAGTTTTAAGAGGCTGATCCAACAACTTGCTTCCAAAAGATAACCACCTTGCAAACCCTATTGAGACATTCTACTCGACAGTGGGGTCACCATGGGTTGGAATTGACTATATGGCAACTAACAATTATAATCGCTTTATGGCCTTTCAATCTGCTTTAATGTGAAACAGTCACTGCCTGGTGGCAACCCAGTACATGTAGTAAAGAAAAACACTACTCGAAAGGTATATGGAAACCTCTATGGAGTTTGACTGACTTTGCCCAAAGAAGAGTGTTAGTGGTGGTGCAGTAGTTAAGCATTTGGCTGCTAAGCAGAAGGTTGAGTGTTAATTCACTCATTGCTTTATGGGACAAAGATATGCCAGTCTGCTCCTGTGAAGATTTACAGCCTTGGAAACCTTACTGGGCGGTCTTACTCTATTCTATAGGGTTACCTTTGGATCATACAGGCTGGTGTGCTTCTTCTCTGTGTACTTAGTTGACGCCTCACTTAGATGGCAGCTTGTTTGAAGCCTTTAAGACCCCAGACATTATTCCAATTAATAGCCAGGCACCATCTGTTTCCTTCACCACCTTTTGATGAGGCCTGCAGGCCACACCTAGCGGTTTATGCTAAAAAGTTATTCAGGTGTGACTAGGCCAAAAAGACTAGGCAAGCCTCAGTCAACCATGCCTTTGTAATGAAGCCCAAATAAAGGCAAGCTTTAGTAGTTGATGTATAAATTTGATAATGGTTGTATGAACTAGACTTCCTTGTAGGCATATAGATAAGGTTAGTACCACCCATTTCTAAAAAATGGTAGGCATTGTATAATGGTTCCTGGCTTCCTCAAAAAGCAAACAGACAAAATTCACATTTTGTTACAAGTATCTATTTTTATTTATTTTTAAAATCATTTTATTGGGGAACGCCCATCACAATCCATACATACATCCACTGCATCAAGCACACCTGCACATCCGTTGCCATCACTCTCAAAACACCTGCCCTCCACCCAAGGCCCTGGCATCAGCCCTCCCCCACCCCGTCCCCACCCTCCCCGTTTCCCCTCCCCCACGAACCCCCGACAATCTATAAGTCATTATCATTTTGTTATATCTCACACCGTCCAACGTCTCCCCCCACTCACCCCTCTGCTGTCCCAACCTCCAGAAAGGAGGCCACAGGTAGGTCCCCGTAATTGGCTCACCCACTCCATCCCACCCTCGCTCCACCTTCCCGGAATCACCACTCCCACCACTGGTCCTGAGGGCCCCATCCGTCCTAGATTCCCTGTGCCCCAGCTCCCACCTGCACCAGTGTACAATCCTCCGGTCCAGCCGGACCTTGGCGCCATCTTGACCGGAACTCTCTATTTTAAAATGAAACAAAACCCACCCCACTACCATGGATTTGATTCCTCTATAGGGTTTCTGAGACTGCAAATCTTCACAGAAGCAGATCAATCATCTCTCTTTCTTGCAGAGGGCTGGGAGGTTTGAACTACCAACTTTGCAGTTAGCAGCCCAACGCCTAACCCAAAGCGCCACCAAGCTCCTTAAATAAAATAGAAGGAAATTATAATTAATTTCTATAAGTATATATAAGTGTATATATATAATTCTATAAGTAATTATAGAAAAGTGACTCACTCACATTTCCACTCGTACTCAAGGATAACCACTGTGGACATTTGCATGTACATTTCTCTAGATCTAGAATGTTTCTGAGCATCTGTTGGGCGGCTAAGAGACAAGGACAGGGAGATTGTCCCTCCCATGCCTGCACAGGTCCCCTACAGGAGTTTAGGAAGGAAAATCAGGCAACCACTAGCCACCCATGAAGACATTGTCTGGGCATGCTCCAATTCAGGCCCTTGAGCCAGGTGGGCGTTACACCTGGGTGGCCCAAACTAGGCCCAGGTGGGCTTAATTCAGCCAGTGGGGTCAACCAAGACCAGGACTACCCAGCCAGAGGTTTAAAATACCCTGGCAGCCAGAAGGTGGTCTCTGACCTTGTTCCTGCACCTGCTCGGCAGTGCCGCAGTCTCTTTGGCCTCAGTTCACCACATGTGGGCACGCAGTCCCACGAGGGTGGGTGCTCCTGTTCAATTGTGAGCCTCAGCGTGGCTTACATGCGGTTTGGCACACTTCCCTGAAATAGCATGTATGCTTTTAAGACTGTAAAACCTGAAACTTCTGTCCTTCATAAAAATTCACTTGGATTATAAACCAGACTTCCGTGTGAATTCTTTCTTGTGCAAAGCCAAGAACCGAGGTCTTACCCACTTGAGAAACCTCACACATCTGTACACAAATAAATTTTTTCTTACATTTCTTAAGTCTCTATCTTATTCACATCTAATTGTGGTGCAGTGGTTAAACTTTCAGCTGTTACCAGCCCGCGGGATGGCTGAGCCCACGAGTCACTACATCCGTGGGAGGGAAGTGTGAGTCTGCTTCTGTGAGTCTTCCGGCTTCAGAAACCCTGGTGGGTGGGTGGGTGGGGGAGCACTTCTACTCTGCTCCACAATCACTAGGAGTCAGAATTGACTGGGTGGGAACGGTCTCTGTTTAATGCTTGCATTTTTGTTTCAGCTGCTATCTAAATCCATACTCTGAGTATGAGAACTTGTTGATCAGAACAATGAGTCAAACAAGCCGCCAAACCCCAAACTCTCTGAACATGCCTACTCTCCAAACAGATGACTATGCCTCATGACATTTTCCTTTCAGTTGTGGCAAAGACGTATGTAGGAAGACACTTGTCATCTCACCTTTGATCATAGGGTCTCTTGACTCAAAGGGGCCCTGATGGCACAGTTGGAAAAAGGTAATTCCAATTCCTCTGTGGAGTGCAGAAAAGGAGAAAGGCATTGGTCAGTAAGTAAGTGCAAAAGGGCAAGATCAGTAAGTTAGAAAGGGACCATTTAACAAGTGATACTGTGGAATGTTGTCAGAGAGTTGGTTTCAGAAAAGTGTAAGCAATTCAAAGCCATGTGTCAGTCAAGTTAGTAGGACAGCGTACAAAAGATACAAGGCGGAGCACATTCTCTGACCTGCCATGCTTCAAAGTGATACTGAATGAATTAAAATGTTGTCATGCCGTATTCATTCTCAAATACATTTAAGGTGGCGTCACAGCCCCTCCGTAGCCTGATCCCTTCCTACCTCTCCAGTGTCAATATCAGAATGCTGCAAGTCACATGTTCTCCACCTACACATTTTCTAGATGGAAAACACATTTCATCTGGAAAGTCTTCTCAGATCTTAGACTACGGAAAGTGGCCTACTATGTTTCCCAGGAGCTCCGGAGCTGCGGGCTTCAGTAGCTAACACCACACCTGGACCATAGGAGGTGCTCAGTGCCTGGACCAAACACCAAGAGAGAAGCAGCACATCAGTGTAGGCTGGTCTGAGGCTGCTCGTTCATCACACATCTATACAACAAGGAAGCATCCAAGAGAGAAGCCCTGCTGGGAGCTGAGTGAGAGTACGATTTCCAAACAGGGGCAGTCACATCCCTGCCATCCCACCGCTGAGTTGGCTTCTGAACAATCCTTTACTTTTTATGAGTCCCTAATTCACAGGACACTTACAAATAAGTTTTACAACCCATTTGCCATACTCATACCAGGTTTCCAGTGATCAAAATACACACAGAATTATTTGTGCATAAAACCTCTTTCCTAAATAGTAAATTAGTCTATCACATTTACACGCTGATTATAGTGTTCCCAGCATTAGTTTTGGAAAGATTCAAACAAAAGATAATGCCTGCTCCCAACGAGTGTTCCAGTGTTTTTTCGAGGAGAGAGTATTAACACATCTGAAGAAACAGTTGAGTTCTTATCTGCTCTCTCTTGGTTGGCTTCAGCAGGGAGGAGGAGAGTCCAACTCCCTACCAGTCTAAGGCCAACTGCCACAAGGCAGAGGTCAGACATGTCCTCCATCCTCCTTTATCTCATTTTGATGCTTTACCTTATTCAGCTGTTCCTACCCCAGCACTCTACTTCTCTTTTTGGTTCCAGAATCCATTACAATGACCACACAGAACTAAAACACAATACTCACAAATATGGGGGTTTATTAGGGAAGTTAACAGGTTACCAAATATCAGGATCTAAGGCATTATGGATACGTACAGTCCCTGGTTTACAGCAATATTACTCTCCAGCCAGTAGTCAAGTCTCTCTCTGGTCCTCAGCCAAGAGGCCACGTGGTCCCTTGGCCTTTACCTTGGTCCATGGGCCAAGAAGCCCACCTGCTGCTCTCCCTGGCAGTCTCATTGTCTCTGATCTCAGTGCTATGACTCTTCTGCTCTGATCTCAGTGTGGTGCGGCCTCTGGGCCTCCACCATTTGAGTCAGGGTTCTGCAAAGAACATGCTCCACTGGCGGCTGTTCTTCCTTAATGGTCCCAGGAATCCTCTACTCCTGTTTCTGAGATGCCTCATTATTATAGCCAGGGGGAAAAACTGGATTAGTTCCCAGGTTAGAACCCTCTAGACATTTGCATGGTCTCACCTAATCACTTGGTAGGAGTTAGAAAGAAATGGATAGAAAATCATAAGTAATTAATTTTACTTCATCACAACATCCAGCAAACAATTAGGCAAGAAGTGAGTGATGAACCATGACACCAATTAGAAGTGAAATAGAATTCAGAAAAGACAATCAGTACAAGGTAAGGTAAGAGACTATCCCAGGAAGATAAAACGACACAGGCCACCAGGTCTGTAATGTTGTGGCACCTGAGTTTGTCTCATTTCAGGAAAGACAATGAGGATCACCATCAGTCCAAAGCAGATTCCCAAGAGGCAGAGGGCAGACATACCTCCACTTTGTGAGTTTTCACCATTCTGACACCAACTATCCTCCCCTAGTCCTCTGTGCTGGGTCCAATAATGGACTGCAATGGCTAATGAGAACTCACAGGCTATACTCACGATTATGGGGTTTACTAAGGAAGTCACAGGAAGTGACTCAGGATCAGGAGCAACTTAGGAACAACTCAGGAGATAGTTCATCATTCAGGACAGCTTTCTTTCTTTTTTATTAATCATTTTATGGGAGTGCTTACAGATATGATAACATTCCATAGTTTTATCACACCAAGCAGTGTGGTACCATTGCTACCACACTCAGTTTCAAAACATTTTCTTTCTTCTTGAACTCCTTGAAATTTGCTCCCCTTTATTTACACCCCCCCCCCACCGCCCCAGGAGCCCTTATTCATTTTTTTTCTTTTCCCTATAGTAGTTTTTTTTTGTTGTTGCTATATCTTACACAATCCAATATATCCATTCACAAATTCTGTTATTTGGTACCACTGAGTGGGGTTATATAGTCATCAATGCTAGCAGGTCCCAATCCCTCTTTCCCCCTTTTCCTGTACCCTCAGGAAACCATTACTCCTGTTACTGTTTCTGAAGGGTTATCTATATTGACTTTCATGTACCAAACGATTTAAAATATACAAATGAACATGCAAGTCTAACATGATTAATGAGGTAAAACAAATAAAAACCATAATAATAAGGGGAGGAAATATTAAAGAATGAGAGGATAGTTATGTGGTTCATCAGTACCAAACTGCACCCTAGATTTATCATCCCTTGCTTGTGACCCTTCTAAGAAAGACTGTCCAATGATCTTACAGGTGGGTTTTGGGTCTCCACTATATTGACGCCCTTTCACATCAATTTGGTTGCTAGGTTTTGAACTTCTGATACCAATTCTCATTGATACCTCATGATCACACAGGATGGTGTGCTTCTTCCATGTGGGCTTTGTTGCTTCCTTATTAGATGGCTGCTTGTTTAACTACAAGTCTTTAAGACACCAGACACTATATCTTTTAATAGCCAGGCACCATCAGTTTTCTTCACCACATTTGCTTATGCACTCATTTTGTCTTCATTGATGTCAGTTAGGTGAATACCATACAATGCCACATTATTAGAACAAATCATTCTTGTAAGACTTGGAAGATTTAAGTAGAGGCCCAAATTCCATCTGCTACCTTGTTGCATTTGCATATATATATATACACATTTATAAACAAATACACATGTATTTATTTTATATCTATATCTATATATTTTTTTCTTCTTCTTCCTTCCTCCCCCCACCCCTCCGCAGCCCCCACCCCCCACCCCTCCTACAGGGCAGCTTTCTACTGACACAACCCTCAACAATTTTTTGGTGGTGCCTGCAGGCTGGTTGTGCTTCCCGGTTAATGTAATGGGTTACCAAACTGAAAAACTGGCGGTTTATCCAGAGGCACGTGAGAAGAAAGCCCTGGCCATCTAATTCTGAAAACCCAGCCACTGAAAACCCTATGGAGTACAGTTCAACTCTGAAACACACGAGGTCGTCATGAGTACAAGTGGACTCCAGGGCAACTTCTTGGTTCTTAAAACTAACCTTCTAAATGTGGGGATTTGGGTAACACAAGTCACACGCTCATGAAGCTCGGGGGACCAGGAAGTTATTGAGAGATGCTGAATAGGAAAGCCCGGCTTCTATCTAATATATCATACTGGTTCAGTTAAATGAATTTAATCCTGGTTTCATTTAAGAGTAAACCCCGCGCCGAACTCACAGTAATTACACTTCCACTGATGACAGTAACTTTTAGTTCAGATGGTGAAACATATTACTCCTCAATGAGGCAATTCTGTCACTGGGGAAGTGGTGGTGATGGGGATCAGAAGTTTTCAAGGACATGGAAATGGCCAGGTCCTAATGTGAAGGTCTGGAGTGTTGGGTTAGGAATAAAGGACATCTTTGTTCTCATGTTACCAAATATATTCCATCCGTTTGACTCTCAAAAGAATACCAAGTTTAATTTTAATTTTAAAACATTAACATTCTAGAAATTTTTCTTCCAGCCTCACCAATTAAACTATGCAGGTTTAGTGCAGGCCAGAGCCTTGGTGGTGCATTGGTTAAAGCATTCTTGCACCAAAAAACCCAAGTTTAGTGCCATCGAATCAATGCCGACTCATAGTGACCAGCTGTGGGTTTCCTAGACTGTAACTGTTTTTCCAGAGTAGAAAGCCCAGTCTTTGTCCCGCAGAGCTGCTGGTGGTTTCGAACTACTGACAATCCAATATGTAAGTACTATACCACCAGGGCTCCTCTATCGAGAGACCAGACCTGGGAAAGGACATTACACTTGGTAAAGTAGAGGGTTAGTGAAAAAGACTCTCAATAAGGTGGATTAACACAGTGGCTGCAACAACAGGCTCAAACAACAATTATTAGCATGGCGCAAGACTGAGCCAAGTTTCCTTCTGATGCCACTAGGAGTCACAACTAAATCGAGAGCCACTAACAGGCCGGATGGGTTTTACCTAGAACAGCCTCTAGTCTAGCGGAAACCTCCTTTACTCCGGACACCGCGTTGGGGGCTCTCCGCCTTTCCGCGCTCCGCCCCGCGTCTTCCGCTACGTTCTCTTCGCCTACCTCTCTAGTCTCCGCCCTCCTGCCCCTGCGCCCCGCCCCGTCACTCATTGCCACGCCCACGCCAGGCCCTCCGCCTGTCGTTCTCGCTCCGCCCCTCGGCGCCTTGTATCGGAAGCAGCGCTCTGTGGACGCTCTGGCCTCCTGGAGGACTTATCGCTCTCCGCCGGCTGGCGCGGGGCGGGTCTGACGTGAGGCGCACAGTGACCCAGGCATACCAACCCTGCCTGCTGCAGGCTCTCGAGTCTTGTAGCCATGGGATTATCGGAGGTGTGGAGGCTCTCGTCGAGGTGTGTGTACCAGGGCAGCCGAGGGTAGGCACCTTCGTGGTGTCCGCCGATGGGGGGAAGGGTCGAGGGTAGGGACTCTGTGACCGCGTAGATTTGAGGTGCCCACGCCCCTTAACCTGTTCCCCACCCATCTCCGGCCCGCCTCGGAGGTTTCTCCGAGCACCTGGCCGCTCGGCCTGCTTGCGCTCCTAGCCCTTTCTCCCGCCAGTACCTTCGCGGCGGCTCCAGCACCTTTCTTTTAGCCACTCGGACTCCTGCTCAGGCCTGACCTCTGCACGACTTCCTCCTATGTTCTGCAAAATTGAGTATGGTTTGGAGACTCGCGAGAGTCAACATAGAGGAGCATATTTTTTTTGTCGTGTGTTTTGCACACCTAACAAACACAGTCTGTGGTCATGATCGCCAGTTGTTGCACCCGTACAATCGCGTGTTTGACCGTGTGACTTTATTTTGCGTTACGGGTGGTGCCAGCTGTTCATTCCGCCATCAGGAACTTTCCCACTAGTTTCAGACACATAACGGGACCCGGTGGAATATTGTGGACAAGCGTTGTGAATGTTCGCTTTTAAAAGTGCAACTCGATTCAGCGTGGGCTCAGCCGAGGGAATCTGGTAGCAGTCATCTTAGAAAATTAATTTGGCTCCAGTAATGCTGGATCGTGGACGCTTGAAGGGTAAACCCTGTAAGCTCCAGAAATCCAAATTCACCGCCATCGAGGAAATGCCGACTTACTGCGGCTCAGTAGAGCTGCTGTGTTTGTGAGTTTCCAAACGGAGCGCCCGGTTCGCCTACCGAGAGGCTAGTGGGTGGGTTCAAACAGCCGACCTTGTGCTTAGCAGCCCAACTCTGAATGCACTAGGCCTCCAGGGCTCTCCGGCTCTGCTGAACTACACTGTTTCTTTCGGAGCTGCTTGTTTTCTTTCTCTACTTGCAATGGGAGACTGAAGGGCTCAGTCTCCGATTTTTCTGTTCTGCTTTCTCTATTATAGGACTCAAACCCCAAATGCTTGCGAGCGTTTGTGGAAGAAGCACGGAATGGTGCAGGTTCGGGCAGTGTGTCCATCTGTTGCAAAGAGGGTCACTGTGAGTTGGAACCAACTCCTTAACACTTAACAACGACAGGGCTAGCAGGGCCAGTAGTGGAGACAGGTGAGCTGGTGGTGTAGTGGTTTCGTGGTTATGCGTTGAGCAGCTCCTTTCATGATCTGGGTTTTGTACCAACCTTATTCTCCCACTCTACCCAGGACCTTCTAATGTGATTTTGCTAAGAGCAGTTGGTAGTGGTAGCTGAGCACTATCTAGGTCTTCTGGTCTCAATGTTACAGAGACTGATAAGGTTGAGTGGTCAGTTAATTCACTGGATTATTTCCGTACAGCATTGAAGTTCTTCACTCTTCTTCAGACAAGGAGAGACTAGTTGCACAAGCTTTTCAGGTCTCAGTCACTAGTCGCCAAAGTAGTTTGAAGAACACTCTTGTGGACTAGGATTGCAAATATCTTAATTTAGTCAGTGTAAATATGGATGAAAGTGTTCAAATCTACCCGCTCCCCTTTAAGAGCATCTAAACTATTGCACTAAAGTAATCTGATTCTCACTGAAGCTTTGTTGTTTGTTGCAGTTAAGTGGATTCTGTCTCAAGGGTACTCTGTGTGCAAAGACTGTGACGTCTCAGAAACAGATTCCTAAACTTGTCTGCTGAGGTGCCTCCACGTAGGTTAAACTAACCTTTAGGCCACTAGTCGAGTATGTCATCATTTGTACCACCCATGGACTCCTTTAAATAATTAATAATTGGCCATTTATCAGTTCCATCAGGTAGGATATGTAGCTGTATATATGCAGAATTCTCATCAAGCTACTGATACTGCTTCTACTCTTGACCTCTCTTCAAACCCTTTGTCTCATATATCTTAAATTGAATTTCTTATCTGCATGTATCTCAGTACTTTCATGTGCATCTCTCACTTCAAAGAGTTTTTCAAGGGCAACTTGTTGAGTGTTGGCAAGTTGGCTCCCACTCATAGGGACCCTTCATGTGACTTGGCACTAGGAAACGTTGCCCAGTAATGGCCATCTGTGTTATCGTTGTTAGGTTTGGGCCCTTTGTTGCAGTCGTTGTGTAAATTCATCTTATTTTGATTGTTTTTGCCAACCTTCTACTTTACAAGTATGGTGTGCTTCTCCGGAATCTGATCCCTCTTGATAACATATCCACATTATGGGAGATGAAGTCTCACTATCTTCTTTTCTAAGGAGCTTTCTCTCTTCTAAGGAGCATTCTGGCTGTACTTCTTACAAGACACATTTGTTGTTCTAGACTCCATGGTATATTTAATATTATTTGCTGATACCATTATTCAAAGGCTTTAATTCTTTGGTCTTCCTTACTTTTTGCCCAGCTTTTGCATGCAATGAGGTGATTGAAAATACTGTGGCTTCAACAATGGGCACACATCCTCAAAGTAATATCCTTGCTTTTTAAGACTTTAAAATGGTCTTTTACGGCAGATTTGTCAAATACAGTATGCCCTTTTATTTCTTGAATGCTGCTTCCACTGGTGTTGATTATTGATCCAAGTAATATGAAAGTGTTGACAACTTCAATATTTTCTCCATTTCTCGTGATGTTGTTATTGGCCTAGTTTGGGGGGTTCTTGCTTGCTTTTTGGTGAGGTGTTACCCACAATGAAAACTGTATGTGGTCTTTCCTCTTCATCAGTAAGTGTTTCAGGTATTCTTTCATTTTCAGCAATTAAGTCAGTATTAACTTCTTCTGTTCTAATGGCTGCCTTCTGGTCTGTGGACAGGTTCTGCATGAGCACAATTAAATCTTCTGGAATTCCCATTCTTCTTAATGTTTTCCGTAGTTTGTTGTGGTCTGAATGTCTCTGCATTGTCAGTGAAACTTAGGTAAACCTGTTTGGGGTGCCCTCTGCATTCAGCCAAGATCCAACTGATTTCAGCAGTGATAATCCCTGTTCTACATCCTCTTCTGAGTTGGGCTTGGATTTCTGTCTGTTCCCTGTTGATGTACTGCTGCTGTTTTAAAATTATTTTCAGCAAAACTATACCTGTCCTTGGAGGGCTTGAATCATGGCTTATTTGACTTTGGATTGTAGAAGATACAGTGATCAGGAAATGAATGAATCTAAACCAAAGAAAAATGATAAAGATGGGAAATTAAGTCAACTTTCCTTTGAGAAAAAAATAAACTCTATCCTGACTAAAAAAACAAAACAAAACTGTACCTGCATGCGATATGAATGATGTTGGATAATTCCTCCATTCTTTGCCAGTTAGCTGTTTTTCCGATTTCTTGACATAGATGAGTGAGTGCTTCCAGTGTTGTAACCATGCGTGGACGCATACTTGACATAGATGAGTGAGTGCTTCCAGTGTTGTAACCATGC